TATAAATGTCCTTTGCCTCCCAGCTCTTTCCTCTATTTCCTTTGACTTTCCTCTTGTCCCACTATCATGCTCAGTCTTCATTTGGGTTTCAGTAAATCCTCTTGGTTACATTACCCTTGATCACTCCCTACCAGGCCTCCCACACCCTCCTCACCACCGATTTGGATTACTTGCTGTTCCCTTGTCCCTGGGTTTATTAACACCACTACCTTTCCCCCCACCTCCCCTTCTCCCATGTCCCCCCAGAACTATTGGTCCCATTGTTTTCTCCTCCAGATTGTTCATCTAGCCTATCTTATTTAGACAGACCTGTGGAGATAATAACATGCACAAAAACAGGACAGAGCAAAACCGAGCAACAATATACAACAAGCAACAACAAACCAATGACAAAAAAACAAAACAAAACACAACAAGAAAGAAAAACTTTTAGTTGGTTTAAGGACTGTTTGTTGGCCTTTAGGAGTGTTTTCCAGTCCAGTCTGTTGGGTCACCACGCCTGGCCCCAAAGTCCACCTTCAGCATTCTTTGGGGTCCTCTTTAAATAATTTTTGCCTTCCTTGTGTATGATGTCTTTGATGTCATCTCAGTACTTACCTGGTGTTCAATCATTAGTGTTCAGTGCATCAGATCTATTCTTGAGAGGTCTGTCTTCAAGGTTGTATTTTGCTCTTCTTGATTTTTCACAATTTATTTCAGTTTCAACTTGAACTTTTAGATGAGCAATTGATGGTCTATTCCATTATCACCACCTGGCCTTGTTCTGGCGGATGGTGTTGAGCTTCACCATTGTCTCTTCCACAGATGCGGTTGGTTTGATGCCGTGTGTTCCATCTGGTGAGGTCCACGTGTGTAGGAGCTGTGTATGGTGTTGAAAAAGCCTGTTGCCAGGGAATAGGTTGCTGGTCTTGCAAAATCCTCTCCTGTGATCTCCAGCATCTCTTCAGTTGCCAAGGCCATATTTTCCAACTACTGATCCTTGCTTCCCGTTTTTCTCCTTTTAATCACCAGTAACTACCATAAATGCATCTTGATTGTATGTGGATTAATTTCAAGCTTTGAAAGTTGGTAAAAATCTTCAATCTCTTCAACTTTGGCGTTCTTTGCTGGCATGTTAATTTGAATAGTATTATTAACTGATCTGTCCTGTAGATGTGCGTATATTATCTTATCACTGACAACATTGTGCTTCAAGATGGATTTTGAAATGTTCTTTTTGATGATGAGTGTGATGCCAATCTCCTTCAATTTTTCATTTCTGGCATAGTAAACCATCTGATTTTCCAACTCAAAATGGCCAGTACCAGCCCAGTCCAGTTCACTAACGTCTTTAGGAGTTCCGCTCAATTTTTGATGACTTCCAGGTTTCCCGTCTTCCCACGTTGTCCACTCCGCAGTGCCATTATCACTGCACTCTTGCAGTTGCGTCTTTTTATCCTGAGTCGTGACAAGTCAGCAAACTAAAGTCCCACGAGCTTCCCTCCAACCACCTCACTGAGATGGAGTCCACTTTGGGGAGGCAGCTCTTCGGCAGCCACGTTTGGAGTGCCGTGCAACCTCAGAGGTCCATCTTCCGGCACCACCTCAGACAGTGTTTGCTCCTCTGCCCTTCGCAAGGTTTTCACTGGCCAGTATTTTAGAAGTCGATGGCGAGGTTCTCCTTCCTAGTCTGTCATATTCTGGAAGCTCTGTTCAAACCTGTCTACCAGAGATGGGCCTGCTGGTTTTTGAAATACCAGTGGCCTAGCTTTCAGCAGGACACAGGCCACCAAACTATGTCAAACTGACAGGCACGTGATGGCTTCAGGAGACAGAGGTTTGATTTTCATGACTTACAAACCAGAGAACTGAGGCTCAGAGAGAGGCTGTAAATTACTCTAGGCTACATAACCAGACCAAACCTACTGCCACCGAGTCGATACCGACTCATAGCAACCCCATAGCAACTGCCCCTGTGAGTTTCCAAGAGTGTAACTCTTTGTGGGATAGAAAGCCCTGTCTTTCTCCCTCAGAGCGGTAGCCCTTGGGTTCTAGAGTCCTTTAGCCTAACTACCAAGCCTGGCCAAAGCAATGAATCAGCAAGATGCCGAGAATGGAAGGTGTCAGTCACATGGATGCTTAAGGAGAAATGCAGGACTCAGGACTTTGCCCCTTCAACCTCTGAGTTTAAGTTCCTTCTGTTAGGATATCTTATTTTATCCTCCACTACTTGAGGCAAGAGGAGTTCTTGGGTGGGGGAAATGGTTAAGCGCTGGACTCCTAACCGAAAGGTGGGTTGTTCAAACCCAGCCAAGGCCCAGCCACGAAGCATGGAAATGTGGCCTGCTGATCTGATCCCCAAAGGTTCAGCCTTGGAAACTGTATGGTCTCTAAGTGGTTCTGCTTGGCACACATAGCATGAGTCAGAGTCCACTCAACAGCCACTAACCACCACAGCATCTCAGCCGGAGCCTGTGTGAGCCGGGAAACAGCTGCAGGCAGCAGTGTGTGGTGGAGGGGAGACTGGCAGGCAAGCCGGAGCGGGCGCAGCCGACCCACAGAAAGAGGGAGTTGTTGAGAGTGGAGACATTTGCCTGGATGTTGCCTTACACACTCATGCCCCGCGGTCCAGGTCGTTCCCTCCGCTGACCTGGACCACATGACTCGTTGCAGATCCTGACGCAGTATCCCTGGAGGCAGCGGACAGGCCCAACTTCTTCCTCCGAGTCACAGCCAATGGGTCTCTGGAGCTGGCTAAGTGGCAGGCCAGTGATGCCTTCTACCACCATGCCACCTTCTCACTGCACCGAGGGACATGGCAGGCAGGGCTGGTGGCACTGGAGTCCCTGGCAAAGCCTGGCTCCTTCCTTTACGGGTTGGGCCCGACATTGGTCCTGCGGCTGTACGAACACACAGCGGCCTTCCGCCGGAACATGCTCTTTCGCCTGCTAGGTAGGTATCCACCCTGCGGCCGCCCTTGAACCCTCTACTCTCCTCACTCATCTCCCCTCCCTGCCCTCTCCCCATCCCAGCCCTCCAGTTGCCCCCCAAAGAGCACTCTCATCGTCCTGGCCCAAGGAGGCCGTGCGGCGCCACCCGAGATAGGAGGTGATCCAACCTCCTTGCTGGAGGTTGCAGGCTGCAGAGCCCTGGACAGTGTGGCCTGAGACTCAGCCAGCTCCTGGAGGCTCTCCTGGGCCCTGCCTCCGGCCGCAGGCCAACCACAGGATCTAAAAATACCATGGCCTTTGTGGATGAGAAGGGGAAACAGTCCTGGCTGCAGCGTGCGTGGCCGGAGACTCAGGTTTCTTGCTGATGGGAACACATGCCTGCCTCATGAGCTCCAAGACTGCCTGCTGGCCGCTGAGGAGCCACCTGGGGACCCTCTTCTCCCTGGACATGGATAGGGCAGCGCCCTGACTTTCCACCAAGGCCAACGGGGCTCCAGGGCTTTGCCACCCTCTCTACCACGTGTGTTTGCCCTCCAATGTCATTTCTTCTCGGCCTGGCCCATTAAGGAAGCAATCATAATTTCTTTATTGCTCTGGCCTCTCTGTACAGCGTGTGAACAGGTCTGTCTGTACCTGCTGGAGGAAGGGGCCCACACACACGTCCACATAGGTCTCCCCAGCCAGCCTTCAGCTTGTCCAAGCCACAAGCCACTTGCAACGCGGGGCAAGCTCACCCTGACATTCTGCATTTATGTTTATGGAGGCCCACCCAGGACAGCTCTGCCACTGCCCGGGAGGGGAAGACTTGTCCAGGATAGGAATGCTGGCACGCGCTCCTCTCTGGAATGCACCAGGCAGAAGGGTACCAGCCTGATGGCCTCAGATCCAAATTCTGATGTTGGAGGAGAACCCCATCTTCCAGTCTTTGTTTCCTCACCTGTGAAATGGGAGCATTTGCCTCATAAGGTTGTTGTGACGATTGGCTATGTATATATCCTCAGGGCCTGGCACACAGTAGGTGCTCCCCGCTACCCGCCCCCCCACAACTGGTAATGTCAGTTCTTGGTTCTGAGGTTCTTCACAGAAGCTGCATGGCAATCGGGGAGCCTGGAGGAGCTGTTGTATGGGGCTGTCCCCCTGTTGGATCCCACCTCCTTGTTCATCAGGGGTCTGACCTGTGTGCCAAGGTGGTCCGAGGTCTTCGCTGCCTTTCAGCCTCCCGCGGGCCGCCCCCTGAGGACTCTTCACTTATGAAAACACTAGCCTCCAAGTCTCTTTCAGGAAAGTCTCCCCTGGAAAAGTTCCCTGCGCCTTCTGCGGCCCCGTTTTCTCATCTACAGAACGGGATACTCACGGTCTCCCAGGAGGATGACTGAGCGATCCCGCAGGGGAGGTCTAGCTTCGTGCTTGGGGCATTTCAGGATCGGCGATGTCCTTGTTATTAATACGATTTCTGTTTGCCCCAGCTGCAAAACAAGGGCAGTGGTCAGATCAACCACACCCTCCGAGTGGAAGACGAGCTTACAAAGAGGGCGCCCCAGCGTGCCCTCTGGGAAGAGAGAGGGCGGGGTGGGGTGGGGGAAAGCGGCTCCTTCTTTGCAGAATGCCAGCAGGTCTTGGACTGAGAGAAGGGACCCTGCTCCAATGCCTCGCCTCACCCCTCGAGGGCTGCAGAGGCCGTCCAGGGTGGGGGGCGTGGGAGGGGAATGGAGACTGAGTCCTGGGTGCCGTTTGAGCCTGAACACGCTGCTTTCAGGGCAAGAGGCCCAAACTTCCTCTGGCCACGCTCAAGGCCCAGCCCCAATCCTGCTGTGCCCCCCACCCCACCCTGAAGTCTTCAGCCCCAGCACCAAGCCCCCATGGCCCCAACTGGAAGACATTGACCCCATGTTTCCCTTTGTGTTGGCTTTTCCGTTTTCTTCATGGTGCCTGCATGAGGCCATTGGTCTGGTCCATGGTGCAGGAAGGACACAGGGTGGTCTGGCATGACCTCTGCCCTCTGGCACCTGACCTGGAGCTGGTTGGTGCTGTCTCAGGCTAGGGCCCTGGGGTGGGTGCCTTCCAGGTGTCAAGCCCTCGGGGGCTGCCTACCCCATCTGTGAGTGGCGCTATGATGCCTGTGCCAGCCCCTGCTTCCAAACCTGCCGAGACCCACAGGCAGCCAGCTGCCAGGAGGTGCCCAGGTAAGCAGGCAGGGGTCCAGGTGTGCACACCTGTGTGTTTGAACATGCTGGGTGCAAACGTGTCTCACTGTGTGAATGGGCTTGTGTGTAGTCCATGGGCAGAGGCATGCCCGTGCCCTGAGGTGTATATATGTAAGTACCGGGAGCCTCTGGGCCACAGAGGTCCAACTTAGGTGCAACCTGCACTTATGAACTGGCCCCTGTTAAAAAATACTGAAAATTCAAGGTACATACAATGGCTTGTAATAACAGATGGGTGCTATTTTGCGACACCCATCAAAATGTTGTTGTTGCTGTTGCTGTGGCGCAGTGGTGATGAGTGGGCTGTAACTGCAAGGTCAGCAGTTTGAAACCACCAGCTGCTCCTTGGGAGGAAGATGGGGCTTTCTACTCCCCAGTTCCCATCTCAGAAACCCACAGGGGGCAATTCTGCCCTGTCCTAGAGCATCACTGTGAGCCGGCATCCACTCGATGGCAGTGAGTTTGGGTTCTGGTCTGGTAGTATGATGTTAGAGACACTCCAGTGTGCCTGGAGGGGTTCAATGTTTCCTGTGTACAGAGCGGTCATCACATACTAACTCAAGACGAAGACAAGCATAGGACCAACTGGTGTTTGATATGGACTGTTCCCATTTAAAGACCCATTTGGCTGAGAGACAGATTTAGGAAATTGTAATCCGGGACTGCTTGTACTCATGTGCATTTGTGTGTGTGTGTGTGTGTGTGTGTGTGTGTGTGTGTTTCATGTGCTGTGGCAGGAGAAGGTGGGTACCAGAGTGACTGTGCCTTAATACGGACATATGTGCATATCTGTTTGTGAATGCTGTGCATGTAACAGAGGTGTGTGTGTGCATACAACATGTGTGGGCTGTGTGTGTTTAGTGTTTTGTGTAGCTGTGTGTCCAAGGGTGGTGCCCACACTGATTGCTTGTATGTGTGTGTGTGTGTGTGTGTGTGTGTGTGGTCGGGGGAGTGTATATGTCTATGTTTATACATGTGTTTGTGACTGCTTTGAGGCCTGCCTGCTTGGGTGGGTGTGCAAAGCTGCGTGAGACTGCACCTATGTGGGGATGCACTTGGGTTCGTGCAAGTGCTTGCACACACGTGTGTATAACCAAACTTTGTTCACGTGTTGCCCTGTCGGAGTGAGCTCCTCTGCAAATGTGTGCCTAGTGCACATTCGGGCAGCGTGCTCCGAAATCCTCATGTACCAGTGTCTTAATGGAGACTCACATGAGTGTGTACATGATAAGAACACACACAGGTGTACATTACGCAAAGGGGAGCCCTGTGCTCTGCCAGAAAAGAGCGGGTGACCCTGCCGCAGACGGCTAACCTGCTCCTGCTCTGTTGGCAGGGTGGAAGGCTGTGTCCCCACGTGCCCCGCCCCCAGAGTCCTGGATGAAGTCACACAGAGATGCGTCTACCTGGAAGACTGTGAGTTTCCAACATCTCATCCCTCCTGTAACCCCCAGGCCTCGCTGGGCATGGCCCCAGGCAAGCAGGGTCAGCATAGGGGTCAGGCCATCTGGCCCACCCGCCCCTTTCATGGAGGGAAACACAGAGGCCTGGGTCCGGAGCGAGAGCACTCGCTGATCCTTGGCGTGGGGGGGGGCAGATCAGGCTGCCTGGGGAAGCTGACAGCTCACAGGGACCCGGTCATCGTGGCCCCTCTAAGGTCACCGTCCCCACCTACCTGAGCTTCTCTGTCATCTTCCTCAGGTGTGGAGCCAGTGGTCTGGGTCCCCACAGAGACCCTTGACAATGAGACCCAGACTCCCAGACAAGAGCTGTCCACCCCTGGTCCCCAGGAGCTGCCCCTCCCACAGGAAACTCCAACGACCCCTCCTCACAGGCCAGCCCGCCCCACAGCTGTCCCCCTCACCACGACCCTGAGCCCACAGCCAGGGGCCACTGAGGGGCCAGCACCAGCTCCAGGCTCCACCCTGTCCACGCTGCAGCCGTTGCAGGGGCTCCCCGCATCTGATCTTCCCGCCCACCCCACGGAGGCCCCGACCAGCCAGGGAGCACCCGATGGCCAGCCGGCTGCCCTCCACACCCCACCATCCACATCCCTCTACCTATCACCGCAAAAACCCACCCCTGGTCCAGGGCCCAGTGCTATGGAGACCCTCAGGGTGACCGTGACCCTAACGGAGAGCCGAAACGTCACGGTCTCCTCCCGGTCACCCCCCGTGCCTCGCTTCCCACTCCTGACCAAAGCCGTGACGGTGCCCAGCCCCGGCCCCTGGCCCATTAGGTCCACGCCCTTGCCGCCCATCTCCAGCCTGGGGCTGCCAGCAAGCCCCTCCTCTAGGCCAGGGGCTTCCCCAGCAGTGACCACCAGGCCCGCTACCTCCTTGGAGTCCCACAAAGCCCTGCTGACAGCCGCCATAGCCAAGGTCACACACAGGACAGGGGGACCCCCGGCTACCCTGCCCCAGAGCCTCTCCGCTTCCAGCAGTCCCCCACCCTTGGCTCCTCTCCATCCTGCCACAACCAAGGGAGTAGAGGTCGCGCCGTCCTCTGAGAAGGTTGAACCCGGACACGGGCAGCCGGAGGGCCTGGCACAGCCAAGCCCCTCTCCCACTGCTCCGCCCCATCCCGCCCAGCATACCACCACCACTGCCACCACAGGGGCTCCGGCTCTGCCCCCTGGGGCCCCAGCTGCCTCCAGCCAGCCCACAGTTGCTCAAGGGCTAGGTGCCACCCCCTTGAAGTCCCTGGACTCGACTCGGCCATCCCAGCTCCTTTCTGGCCTCCCTCCTGACACCAGCCTGCCTCTGGCCAAGGTGGGCACCTCTGCCCCAGTGGCCATGCCCGGCCCCAAAGGCTCTGGCACCACCCCTCCACGCCAACAGCAGGCCACATCTCTGGCCATGGCCACGGCCTCACCTGCTCAGACGCTCAGCCCAGCCCTGTCTCTCAGCCCAGCTGTCATGGCCCCGGGGCACCCACCCAGTCACACTGCCTCCCAGACAACTGGCATAGTTCCAGACCTGCTTCTGGGGGTCACACTGTCAACTGCTGGAGTCGTGGCCCCGGCTGAGGGGGTGTCCTCTGCAGTTTCTGTCACCCCAGCAGAGAGCACCACGGGGAAGAGGGCCACGCTGTCAGAGCCAGGGGCTCTGTCCACCTTGGCACATGGCTCGGCCCAGGGTGGGCCCACAGAGCTCACAGCGGCTCTGGGCCACACGCTTACTGCCTGGGTGACTGAGGCCGAGGGGCCCCGAGCTGGCTCGGTGCCACCAATGCCCACATGGTATGCTCCGAGCCAAGTGTCTACCAGGACCGCCCCTAGGGAGAGCTCGCTGGTTCCACTCCCTCAGCTGGTTGAGGCCCACGGCACTCTGGCAGGCCCTCAGCTCCCCGCAGGGCCAGCGAGAGAGGCCACTACTGAGCAGTCTGGGCGCTCGGCACCGGCCAAAAGCATCCCCGAGGGCCTGGCTGAGGCCTGGACAGCAGACATGGAGATGAACACATCTGATGCCTGCATTGTGAGTGACTTGCTCTGTCTGCCTGCGCATACGTGATGGTTGAGCTGGTGTGAGTGTGTGTTTCGGGTGTTGTGCGTATGGGCACAGCAGCCTTGGGGGCACCACGGGCCAAGTGTCAGCTGTGCCTGAGTTTCCATGCTTATGAGTTGCTGAGTGTCCACACTGACATCCCTGGAGCTCTCTGAGCAGGTCAGGCAGCCCAGCAGAGGACTCAGAGCCAGGACCCTAGACTCCAGGCCTCTCTGGAGTCCAGCCCCTGGCTCCAGGGGTGGGTAGAGGCGCAAGCCCTCTGCTCGGTGGAACTCACACTTGGAGGGACTCTGTAGCCCCTCTGTGCAGCCTGGGGGTTGGGGTGGAGTAGGTGGCTCTGACCTCTAGGGTGGACATTCATGTAGTCCCCTCCCCCCTCTGTCCTCAGCCAATCGCAGAGCAGGACTGCGTCCGCCACATCTGTCTGGATGGCCAGTTGATCCGTGTGAATCAGACTCAGCACTGTCCCCATGGCGCTGCGCCCCCACGCTGTGGGGTCCTGGGCTTCGCCGTGCGGGTGGGCGGGGACCACTGCTGCCCACTCTGGGAGTGTGCCTGTGAGTCCTGGTGTCAGCCATGGCCTCTGACCTTACAGACTCCTCCCATGTGACCTCTAATCTCAGTGAACCCCTGACCTCATAGATTTCTAACCCCGTGACCCCTGGCCTGAGTGACTCTCTGGAACTCTTGCCCTCTTCTCGCCCCCTGCCCCCTCCCCAGGTCGGTGCTCCATCTTTCCCGACCTGAGCTTTGTGACCTTTGACGGGAGCCACGTGGCCCTGTTCAAGGAGGCCATTTCCATCCTCAGCCAGAGCCCAGATGAGATGGTCACTGTCCACGTCCTCGACTGCAAAAGTGCCAACCTGGTGACCGCCCTGGCTGCCCCTCCTGCTGGTGCCCTGGGGCTCTAGGGGGGTGGGTTGGGACTTGAGGGGTGCCAGACGTGAGGGCACACATAACAGCTCCCCATGGAGTCTCCTGGCATGGGCACCACCTCACAGCTCTGGAGAAAGGACTGGGTGCAGCTGCCACTCCCCGGCCCTTTCTGAGGCCTGAGAAGTCTCCCTAGCCCATCCTAGTGGCCCAGAGCTGAGGGGGAGGGCACTGAGTGCAGAGGGGCCAAAGAGCTTGCCCAGGCTGTCTCCTGGGAGCAGGCCCACTGAGATGCCCCCACGGAAGGAGGATGGAAGGAGGCCGTCTTCTTCCCCGCGGGGCTTGTGTGAAGTCGGGCGGAACTAGCAGTGTGCTAGCGGAGGCATTGCACCGTCTTCGCAGCCGCGATGGGCGCCCTGGCGTAGTGGGCAGGGAGGCTGTGCTCAAGCTTGCTGCGCCGGGGCTGCAGTTGATCAGCGGGGCTCTCTCTGCAGGGGCACCTCAACTGGCCGCCCTTCTGCCTCGTGATGCTGAATGTGACTCACCTGGGACATCAGGTCACCATCGGCCGCTTCAACCGGAAGGTGAGCGCATCCGAGGGCCGGCCCTCCAGGGCTGGGCAGCCCAGTGGCAGGGCGTCCAGTGTGGTAGGGTCTGCGGCTCGGACAGACGTGGTGGGGGGGACAGGTGAGGAGGGGGCCCTCTTCAAGAGAAATAATACAAAGTTCAGCCAGCTCCCCATTAAGTTGGTCCTGGCTCACAGTGCCCCTGGCTGGACAGAGTAGAACTGCGCCCCAAAGGGTCTTCAGCAGCCTGTATCTTCCTTATCCTGTGCCGCCATTGCAGAAATGCTATAGGGGAGGCTTTGACGAACAGATCTTATTTTCTCCCAGCTGGGACACTAGACGTCTAGGATTGCAGGAGGCTGGCCCCAGGGAAGGCTCTCTCTGCCTGTTGGCTCTGGAGGAAGGTCCTGCTGCTCTTGGGCAGTGTGTGTGTGTGTGTGTGTGTGTGTGTGTGTGTGTGTGTGTGTGCGCGCGCGCGCGCGCGCGCTTTCTCTTCTCCCATCTCTGCTTCTTCGCTTGTTTGCGTCATCTCCTTTATATCCCCGGTGAGATGGACTTAGACGCAGCCAACCACAGCCCCAGCTGTTGATGGCAGCACAGACAGCCCATCCCATGGCATTCGCGCCACAGGCACTGAGCTTGGGAATGACAACATGGATTTTCAACTCACCGTAGCTGGTTTTCCAGAAGGAGGTCACCAGCCTGTTCTTCCGGGGCACCTCCAGGTGGACATGAGTCTCCAACCTTATGGCCCGCAGCCGAGTGCGCTGACCATTTGGGCCACTCAGAGATTCCAACGCAGAGTTGTTGTCATTGAATGTCGGTGGTTATCCAGACCTTGTCTGACTGAGGAGCACGGCCCTATGGAGTTGGGCCATCGCCATGGGAGCAGATTCACTCTCTCCTGCCCAGCCACTGGGTGGGTGGGCTCAAACGACCAGCCTTTCCATGACCAGTTGAGCACGTAGCCATCGCACCCGCAGGGCTCCTTAATACAAACGGAGTCAGGTCCATGGAAAAGCGATTGCCAGCTTAGAAGTGACTGTACCATTTAGGATGATGGACCTCTGGAACGTCCAGGAAAGAAGCATCCTCGGAGCACTCATGTGAGCGAGGAAGCCGCCATGGCAACCAACACTGCCCTTAATTATTGTGGTTAAAGTAATGAACGTTTTTTGCAATTGCTACAGTTAAAGATGGTGGCTGGCTGAACACGCTACTAGGGCCTTTCCACACTACCAGGGGCCGGAGAGTCCAGCAAAGCCCGCCCCTGTGCTGGGCAGCTGGATCCCCCATTCAGAGGCACTAGCTATCCTGGCTCCTCCCAAGGGCACAGTCTTCTGACCCTTGGGCTAGGACCTCTGTCCTCAACACACTTGAACTCTCCACTACTCCAACAGCAAAGTTGGGGTGGGGGGGGGGGAGGCGCACGGAATCTGCTTGGTGTTTATAATTTTGCGCAATAGTTGAATCAAAATCCAATTTGAAAAAATACCTGTTACAGGCTGAGAGTGAGCCTTGGACACAAAAGGGTGATGCGTTAATCAGTCTAAGCATCACTCTTGCTTAGACAGAGACTCAGTCCTTGTGCTTCTGTGTGTGCAGAATATCGTAACCATGGTTCCAAAGGAAGTCAATGATACCAGCAGTAAAGCTGAGAGGAAAACTATGAGAGCCCGATAGAGCAAAAGAAAAAAAATCACTGCGAAATTTGAATCCGGTCTCTGCTTGTCTGATTAGGCAGCTGAATACAGCACTATCAGCATGGCGGGGAGAGGCGAGTGATTAAAGCAGCCAATGTAGCAAAAGGTGTGAAATCGTTAACTAGGAAGCAAAGAACCATTGAAGAGGTTGAAAAGTGACTATTAGTTTGGATACATCAGAAACAACTTGAGGACAACAGTGTATCTGAGACAGTGATATTCGAAAAGGGCACAAGCCTCCTTGGTGATTTATAAGTGTAATTTTAGGCCTCAGAACCAATTATTTCTTTTGGGAAAAGTATGTTTCCGTCTCCAACTCGTTTGGAGTTCGAACACAAATTTGGAACAAATGGAGTTTGTCAACTGGGTATTACTGTAGCTTATGTTCCAGATCATCCACAAAGTGGTTAATAAAACAGAAGGCCGCTTTGAGGGAAGGGGAGACTGTCATCATGTGGCCGCCGATTCAGGGTGACCCAGAGTGTGCAGAGTGGCCCTGAGCTCTAGGGGATCACGGAAGCAGGAAGGAGTTGACCGCACCTTACTTTTGAGATGCCTCTGGGAGGTTTGACCCATCAACCGTTTGGTTAAGAGGCCAGCCCTTAACCACCCAGGTTAAGGGTCACCCAGGGACGTCCCCAAGGTCACAAAGCCTTCTGCCTCTTGGGCTGGGACTGTGTGATTCATGTTCTGGATAATGTGCCACACGGGTGATAAAGCATTATGATGTCTTTGGGGATGGATATAAAGTCATTATCACTATGTTAAACCCCTAATTTTTTAAATCTCACATTTCTGCAGAGCAGAACTAATCATCTGTAATACAATTACATTTAACCTTGTTAATAGAGGCAGTCTCTCACTGCCACTGAGTTAGCGCTGACTTATAACTACCCACTATGGGTTTCCGAAACTGTACCTGTTTACGGAAGTGGAAAACCCAGTCTTTCACCCGCTGAGCTGCTGCTGGTTTCGAACTGCTGACCATGCAGATCGCAGCCCAACACTTAACCACTACTCCACCAGGGCTTCATCAGAGAGGCTTTATTTCATTTAATTTAAAGAACTTGAAAGTGTGAGCGTTGGGTGTGTATTTAAGAAACATTAATTGAGTTCTAATTTATGTCAGGCCAGGGCAGGGACTTGGGGTTTCAAGATGAATCAGACGTAATGTCCTAGAGAAACTCATGGTCCGCTGGCGATTTTGGTGAGGGGACAGATAGATGTCCCTTGGTCAGCGCAGGATAGGGACACCCCAGAGGAGGTGTGCTCAGCTTAGCGGCCAGGCGTTCCAGGAAAATCTCTCCGAGGAACTGGCCAGAGCAGAATCAGGGTCAGAATCAGGAAAGAGAAAGTGGTTTGCACGGCTCAGGGTGGTGTTTCTTTGGGTACGGAAATGTTGCTTGCCTCCAGCTGGGTTTTTCGGTTTCTTTGATTTTGGTGTATAAACGTGCTTTCAGATTCTCTCATGTCATCCGGGACGATGTCTTTCCACGTGTACTGGAAATAGAGCCGGGCACAAAGCAAGTGCCCTAATGAATGTTTGTCAAATGGATGGATGGATGGATGGGTGACGGATGGGTGGACACGTTGTTCTCACATACCACTCCCACCCTCTTCCAAACACAGGTGACTGTGGATTCACAGCCAGTGCACCCCCCTGTGAGCAGGTTTGGGTTCAGAATCGAGGACACAGGCCACATGTACGTGATCCGGACCCCTTCACACATTCAGATCCAGTGGCTTCACAGCTCGGGGCTCATGATCCTGGAGGCCAACAAAGCTGCCGAGGTCCAGGGCCGTGGTCTGTGTGGTGAGGTGGGACCTGAGTGGGGAGGGGGGAGATTCTTTCCAGGCCCACCTCTGCAGGCACAGGCACCCAGGGGAGGCAGGGACGGGATGCCAGGTCAGAGGGTAAGATTAGCAGGGCTGCCAGAGCAGGGAGGCAGAACATCTTACGTTCTGGGGCTGAGGCTGGGGCTGCCAGCAGGGAGATGGTGCAGGGCTCTGGCCTCGGCCAGTTGTCACCTCAGCCGGGATTGTCTGTCAGCTCCTGACAGCCTCCTAATGCCAGATAATCCTTCCCGTCTGCATTGGCCGGGGCACTTCACAAAGCTCTTGCACACGCTGACCTCGCTTGTTCCAGGTCAGCCACACAACAGCCCCGAGAGGTGGGCATGATAGCCCCTTTGAACTGAAGAATAGGGGCTCAGAGAGGTTAAGTGGCAGCCTAAGGTCACACAGCAGAGATGCCACTGTGCATGGGGCTAGTCCTAAGGGACTGAGTGTGGTCTAAGAGAAAAAGGAGGGGCCCTGGGACTTGGGGGTGCAGGCTGCTGCGCCTTGCCATGGTTGAGTGATGGCTGACATAGAAGCACTTACACCTGGCGATGCAGAGTGGAGACTTGGAATTGGGGACCCCACAGCATAGGGACAAGACTGAGGGTGTCTGCAGATGAGTGACAGCTGCACCGCTCAGGGCAGGAGGGAGGCAGCTCCAGGAGGAGGGTCTCTGGAAGAGAAGAGACTTTTCAGTTACTTCAACAAATCACCGGGAGCCCTGGTGGCATAGTGGGTTACTCCCGGGCTGCGAGCCACAAGGTTAGCGGCTCGAGACTCCCAGGCGCTCTGGGGCAGAAAGGGGAGGCTCCTGATGAGGTTTCACGCAGGGAAAAGCATAGGAAAAGCTAAGCAAACAGCCCCAACATCCACAGTAGAGAGTCAATAGATAACACAGACATCTAAGAAATAAATACATACCATATATACTCGAGTACAAGCTGACCCGAATATCAGCCAAGGGACCTAATTTTACCACAAAAAACCATTACCATAAAAAAGCATTAAAAATATACTGAAAAATCCAGCTTATACACGAGTATATACAGTACATAAAACTCAAGAAATGCCAGTATCAACATGCTATTAGGAAAAATGGGGCAAACGTGGAAGAAACAAAAGACATATTGTCTTTGGGAGCAAAAATCGGGGAGGGCAATGTGGGGGGCGGTGTGGGATGGCTGACAGACCTGGTAAATCTAATTTTAGAAGTGCGTGTGTGACTGGTGGAAATGATTGAGTACACGAGACGAGAAGAAGCATGCGCACCCACATTACATCCTCTGCACCCACGAGCACCTTTACACCCCAAACCCTCTCTGCGCACGCTGGCCCGAGTCAGTCTGCCCAGGCTCAACTCTGGTTCGTGCAACACGTTGGTCTTAGCTGCTGTCCCAGGAGACACAGCTGTGTCCAGAGACACCGTCTGAGAACCCGTCAGGGCAGGTCTACGCTGGCCTCTGGGGTCCTTGTGCGTGGGAGTTGACTCACTCCCTGGCAGTATGTTGGTGTTCTTTCCTTAGTTTGGTCACAGGGGACCGGAAGCGAGAAGCTGACACACTTCCAGTTTCAGAGAGAGCCCCTATCACTAACCTGACAGACCCCAGCCGCCATCCTCTTCACACCATTTCTTCCTGCTGCCCAAGTGCATGGCCAGCAGGAGTCCAGGGAACCAATGCTTCCAAGGGACACCTTGGTGACCCCCTCAGGGTCTCAAAGGAAAGACCAAAGAGCTGGCCAGGGAGGGGAGCCATTGATCCAATCTGAGGGTCACTTATTAAATCACGCTTTAGGTTCCCAGGACTGGTGGTGGGCAGTGTCAGAGGAGATCATACCTCTGTCTTTCTGAACTACCACACTCAGGATCCTGGACATGTTGCCAGGTGTCTTGGAAAAGGACAAGATCAATGTCTTGTCCTCAGAGAGCTAAAAATCTTCTGTGAAAGATAGACCTGTAAACCAATAACTGGCGTACAGAATCGGGAAGGTTGTGGGTAGGTGCACCACGCTTCCTTGAAGGAACACCTTCTAAGAAAGCATTTATGGGGCAGGGAGCAGCCTAGGCAAGGCCCTGGGCAGAGAAGCATGTAGGTAGAGCTGAGAGCACATTGGTAAAACCTGGAGCTGAAGGGCAGTCAAGGTCATACCAGTGGCTGTAACAGATGACCTTCATCTGGTCCCCATCGAGGTGCACTAATACCACAGTTACTTCCTACTCCACTCACCTCACTGGTTAGCCATAGTCCAGAGCCCTTCCGCCTTGAGGATTGGCCGTCTCCCACATGCAGCCCCTAACTCTACAGAAGGGAAAGGAACATGGCGGCTCCGGCATGGGAAGCTTTCCTGGATGAGGCCTGCCAGTGGTGCCTTAGTGCACATTCCATTGGCTAGAACTCAGTCACATGGTCTCAGTCAGCTGCAAAGGGGGCTGGGAAACAGGCTAGCTGAGTGCCCGGGAGAAGAGGTAACAGATGTAGCCATCTGTGAAAGCATATTTTTTTGAGGTAATGCTTTATTTTGATCAATGTTAGGAATTGCAAAATTAGTGGGGCTTCCTATCTATATTTGCCCCAGACTTACCAATTTTTCACATTTTGCCACATTAGTTCTCTCTTTTTGTAACACACACACACACACATATCAAAACACATGTGAGTTGTGTTTGTCTAGCTATGACATACATATATGCATTTTGAAGCAAACCATTTGAGGGTTAAGTCTGAGGCCCTAGCCCCAACACTTGGCTGTGTATTCCCTGAGAACAAAGCATATCCTTGCACAGCGCGCCCTGAGCTCTGTGGCTTTGTTTCCCCACATGCATACAGTGGGGATAATAAGATACCAGCATGAAAGCATCGTTGTGTAGAAGGAATACACATGGTGGGGGCTGGGGCAGGGAAGCACTGGGGATCGGTGGGACTCCGGGCAATCTCCCCCCTTTCAGGGATCTGTGATGGTGATGCAGCCAATGACCTCACCCTGGAGGATGGCTCTGTGATAGGTGGGACTGAGGACCCCGCTCCCTTCCTGGACAGCTGGCAGGTGCCCAGCTCCCTGACCTCGGTGGGCCAGACCCGCTTCCGCCCGGACAGCTGCGCCACCGCCGACTGCTCACCCTGCCTGCGCATGGTGTCCAACCGCACCTTCAGCGCATGCCACCGCTTCGTATGTGCCACGGGTGCAGGGTGGGGAGGCGTCCCAGGCTGGGCCTGTCTGAGTGCTCGGGAAGCGGTTGCGAGTCCGCGCAGGCTCTGCGTCCCCTCTGGGCAGGGCTGGGAGGAGCTGGGCCCTGGGGTGTGTGCAAGATGAGGCAGGAAGAGTCCGCACTGCCTGGTTCCTGTGCCCAGGTCCCCCCGGAGTCCTTCTGTGAGCTGTGGATCCAGGACACCAAGTATGTGCAGCAGCCCTGTGTGGCTCTAACGGTTTACGTGGCCATGTGCCACAAGTTCCACGTGTGCATCGAGTGGCGGCGCTCCGACTATTGCCGTGAGTGTGCTGGGCGGGGCGGGGTTGCTTCTCCATCCCTAGCAGAGGGGGCTGAGGCTGCTGGCCACAGGTCTAATCTGGGCTTTAGCAGGTGTAGTGATCCTTCCATGCGTTCATCCCCAGGTACCAGGGGGCTTCCAAGGGGTATTAAAAGATCATGGAATTTTCCCAGCAACGTTTTCAAGCCCCCTCATATTAATAAATGTATAAAGACTTTATAAATAAAATCACAGATCAGCCAATCCGTATACTTCATTATAGTCTATGTTAAAGAACCAATACGATTTAGTTGTTAATTTCTCCGTTTCCCTGAGTCGTTTTGCCTCACCTGTATGGGACAATGATAACAGTCCCCTCCTAGGCTTGCTTAGGATCCCTGGTGGTGTAATGGTCATGTATGGGGCTACTAACTGCAAGGTGAGCAGTTCAAAACCACCAGTCACTCCATGGGGGCGAAATGAGGCTTTCTATTCTCATAAGGAGTTACAGTCTTGGAAACTCAGGGGCACTTCTGCCCTGCCCTATTGGGTCCGTATGAGCCGGAATTGACTCAATGGCAGTACGTGTTTGTTGAGTACTACCAAAGCAGGCTGGGTTGGGCCCATGGGATGTTTTTGCTAGCACCTGGTCCAGAGGAGGCCCAGGATGCCCGTGCCCTCGGTTTCTGTGTGCAGGCTGTGAGGCAGCAGCGATGCTCTGGGCGACTCCCCGGCCCTTCCTGCTCTTTCAGCCATTAGAAGGGAGCCCTAGCAGGGCTCTGAGTGAGCCCTGGTGCCCGATGTGCCCCTGCAGCCTTCCTGTGCTCCAGTGACTCCACATACCAGGCATGCGTGGCAGCATGTGAGCCCCCGGAAACCTGCCAGGATGGGGTCCTGGGCCCTCTGGACCCAGAGCAGTGCCAGGTGCTGGGCGAGGGCTGCGTCTGCGCGGAGGGCACCATTTTGCACCGCCGCCACTCGGCACTCTGCATCCCGGAGGACAAGTGTGGTGGGTCCTCCTCTCCCGTGTCCGGGGCTCCCCCACCCTGTTGCCCTCAGCCTGGGGTCCCTTGTGCCCCCTATGCTGAGGTCTATATCCTGTCCCTTTGGGTTTGTTTTGCGAATGGCCACTGCTCCCAAGAGGGTCTAGGCTGGCCTGGAAGAGTCGGGGTCTCTTCCGCGCCCCTTCCTCAGTCTCCTGCCCACCTTGCCGCCCCTGCAGCCTGCACTGACAGTGCAGGGGTGCCACGAGCCTTGGGGGAGACCTGGAACAGCTCGCTCAGTGGCTGCTGCCAGCACCAGTGCCAAGCCCCAGACACCGTGGTTCCTGTGGACCTGGACTGCCCGGGGCCCCGCCCTGAGAGCTGCCTGCGCTTCGGGGAGGTGGCCCTGCTGCAGCCCACTGAGGACCCCTGCTGCCTGGGGGCTGTTTGTGGTGAGTACTTTCACATCCCTGAACTCAGCTATGGCTACCAGCCCTGTCCACTGGCTTCATGGGTGGGACAAGGCTTGGAGATCGAAGCATCTTGTGGGGTGGGCGTGGGGGTTTGTGGGGAACCCTGGTCGGGGCAGCAGGGACTGTGGGTTACACGTTATTTAGTGCCCCGGGAACAGAAACACCCCAGGTAGATGCCTTGAGTCTTGGCGTTTGGGATATGACAAGTCTGGGCTTCTACCAGCTCGGGCCAAAGGTCCCAGTCTCCTCTCCACATCTGTGGGCCCAGGACTACGTGGCGCCCTTTCTGTGTCTTCCCCTGGGGTCTCTGTGCAGGAGCTCCGGTGCAGAGATGTGCTCTGGCCTCGCTCTTCTTTCTTGGTGATGGGCCGGACCCTCCTTCTTCGCTTCCTTTTCTGTCTTCTTTTGTTCAAGGAAAGGTGATGCAGGCATCATCCCAGGAAAGCTCCCCTACATCCCATCAGGGCCATGGACTGAGTAAGGGGGTTCCTGCCCGCTCATCCCCTTACAATTGATTGACTGATCACATTGGATCACCTTATTATACAACTGCTAATCCACATCGTTACCTAACTGGCAAACCACTGAGCGTCATGGCCCAGCCGAATTGACACTTCTTTGGGGGATCACAAGTTGATCTGTGGGGGTAAAGGTTAAAGACGTGGATGCTGGTTGGACTCTTATTGCACCGTCTTGTAGCCGATTGACCTCTACCCAGACATCGAGTAGCCTCCAAGTTTAAGTGGACTCACTTGGAACTTGAGGTTACTAATAAATTCACTCCCATCTAGACTTTTCCGGCTCACAGGGAACCTGTGGGGCAGGGTAGAATGGCCCCTGTGGCCTTCTAAGTCTGAAACTATTTACAGACGTATAGAAAGTCTCATCTTTCTCCCTCAGAGTAACTGGTGTTTTCGAACTTCTGACCTTGCAGTTAGCAGCCCAGCAAGTAACCCCCATGCCACCAGGGCTCCTAGGGATAATAACTGTACCTACATTTTGGGTTGTAGGAATTTTCTAGGTTAGCACTGATTTAAGATGGCACCTGGCATGCCTCCGGGAATATGAGCTCTTTTTGTTCTGGTCTCTCCGGGACCCCTGTGCACCCTTCTTGTAGTCAGGGCCTTGGGGCCTGGAGGAGTAAAGGGGGCCAGGTGTCCAGCAGTGCTGCAGGCCCCGAGCCATGCTGGGCCCCAGGTGACAAACCCCATGGCCCCTGGGCCAGTGTGTAACCAGACTCTGTGTGAGGGCCTTGCCCCAACCTGCCGCCCAGGCCACCGGCTCCTCACCCACTTCCAAGAGGACTCCTGCTGCCCCAGCTATAGCTGTGGTGAGACGCATTGGGGGGGG